TGTAGCTCTGTGATCAGCAAGTATATTTCTTCCTCTTCTTCCTCCTCCTCTTCCTCCTATTTCTTCACCTCCACGTCCTCTTCCCCAGCCTCCTCTAATTCTCACTCTTCTTGGACTGATTGCTAAGTGAACTAATGATCTAAAAGTTTTCATATATGGCAGTATGCCAGAAAGTTGGCAAAATAATGCAAATAATAGCCATATATTTGCATAAGTATAGACTTTCTTGTGTAGTAGCTGTTAACCCAATGTACTCAGCCTCACATGTGGAAAGAGCCACAGTTGGTTGTTTCTTGGATTTCCAGAAATGGCTTGACCTTCTGGCCTTTAAACTGAAACAATAACCTGTGGTGTTGCGTCTGTCCTCGACTGAGGATGTCCAGTCAGAGTCACTGTAGGCTATAAGGCCTTCAATGTTTTTCTTGACACTTAGTTCTGAGTCACAAGTACTTTTTAGATACCTCAAAACATGTTTTTCATTCACTAGATCCTCTGTCGTAGGTTTAGTTAATGTCTGTGAAAGTTTGCTCACTATCCAACTGATGTCTGGTCTGGTGAATGTCACCACATAAATCAGACTACGTATTATCTCTTGATAGTTTGTAGGATTCATTATTTTTGTTTCATTGCACTCACGATTTCTTTGTGATCAAGTCTTGGTTTGTGGTCCAACATTCCATATTTTTCCAACATTTTCAGGATGTATGTCTTTTGGCTCATTTTTATATGATCTTCTTGCTCAAAATGTATGCCTAAAAAATGTGATATTTTGCCTATATTCTTCATGTTAAACTTTGATTTCATTGTTCCTTTGAAACCGTCGAAAGTCTCAATCCTGCTAGCAGCAATGATCAAGTCATCCACCCTGATGAGCACGATAACTGTGTCATTTTCTGTCGGGTTTCTGTACACACAATGATCAACTGGGTTCCTTTCCAAGTTGTTTAGTTTAAGATGATCGTTTATGAGTTTGCACCACTTGCTCCCTAATTGTTTTAATCCATACAGGGATTTCTTTAATTTATACACAAATTTCTCTCCTGTTTCTGGTTATTGTTCAAACCCCTCACACTGTTCCAAGTAAATTTCTTCCTTAATTGGAGCATGTAAATAAGCTGTTTTGACAATCATCTGATGTACTTTAAGGTTTTTCTGAACTGCTATGTGTCATCCGCGCGCCGGACTGGAGTTGTGACAGGCAGCCCAGGCCACAGGCGGCTACGCTCTACCCCTTTTATTCATTCTGCTAGCTAATCTTCAATTCCATTTCGAGAGCGAGATCATCTGTGGTAGTAGCACTACACATCTTGCATGCATGTGAGCAAAACTAGCAGCAGTTCAGCGGACAGGATGAATGAACGGTAGCCGGCGTGCGTGGATGACATTATACTGTACACGGGCCGCTTTGTTTTAAAAAACTATAAATATAAAAACTTAACCACGGATGTCTGGCGGACAGTGATTCGCCTACATGTTATGAATGCTGGCGTACCATAAAGAATAAATTATGAACAGTTTAGTTTGTGCCTTCAACTCATTGCCCANTGATTTTTGTTTAAATATGAATAAATATGTAAAAATGGATGAAAACATCACTGTCCCCTGTTTACTATTTTAATTTTCTTAAAAAGTATTTATTTTTATCTTGGAGCTGGAAATGTCCCCAGATTAGATTGCAGAAATCTGGTCACCTTACTCTGAGATTAAATGTTTTTAGTCGACTGGATTCGTCAGGAATGTTAAGAGCGATTTAATGATTTGAAAATAAATCATATTTCTGTTTGAGAGAAACACCTTTGTTGATTTAGATGTGAAATGTTTGAAAACTAGATGCGCTAGCTCTATGATTTAAAAAAAAATGCCGTTTGCTCTACATGGGTATGTTGGTGAAATAACATTAAATAAATATTCAAATATATTTAAAGGACATTTAACATAATGTATTATCAAGCCAAACTCTTTTTTTTCTAATAAAAGTTTAATTAAAGTTATAATTTTTAGTATTTTGGAAGTTGACTGAATTTAACCCGATAAACAACTGAAGAAAAAAAAAACACATGAAGATTCTCAAGTTGTTTAGTTTAGTAAATGTGTTTAGGAAATAAGTTTTTAATCAGTGTTTTTTTTTTTTTAAGTTTTTAAGTGGTATTTTGTATAAAATTTATTATTTATTGGTTTGAAATAGGAGGAATGATAACAGAGATGTAATGATATAAAACAAAAACACATTTTGGTTTCAGCGGATAATTTTTGATTAAGTTCTTGTGGAAATGGTTAAAAAAATACAAAATAAATTGTTTTAGGATAAAATAACTTGTTAAATACATTGCAGGGGAGGTTTTTTTTTTTTTTTTTATCCTGTGGTACATATAACATATAGGTCTTCATGGATACCTTAGTAGAATGTATTAAACAACTGCAAGGCTTTTTAAAAGGTTGAATATATTTTTTAATTTAATGGAAGATCAAAGGTGTTAAAAATGTTTGATTTTAAAGTTTCTGGTTTCAAAGGATAATTTTTGGTGAATTTGGTTTCCAATCCTTTAAAAACAAGGTGGCATCTGTCCCCTTCTGTCAGAGAAAAGTATGGTCTCCATGGATACAACAATAAACAACTATAAGGTTTAAAATGATTGTGAAATAAAAATGAGATCCTTTACATTTTCGGGCTGTAACATGTTTGGAAGTTAACTAAGTCTATTAGAAGTGCTGCCATTGCTAACCGTGTGAGGAAAACATAGAGAATAGATGTTTAATCAAAAGTTTAGAAAGGAGGATGATATATTTATGTTTACAGGGAGAAGGTAGAATTAAAACATCAATTTAAAACAGTATATTATTTAATTTTTTTCTGGGCTGAATCTTCATTGTTCTTCAGCCCTTATTTGGATCTTCAGGTAAAGGTAAATCATTTCATCCTATCTGTCACCAGTATTAATACAATTTATTCATTGGGGACTCATTTTCTAGATCTTCAAAACATTCAACACTGGATGTTTTCACCTAAACCATTAAAAGTTCTGTATAGAACCATTTCTTAATAATAACTGAATAGTTTGCTAATGTCCATTTCTGCTCTGGGCTTTCTATGTGTTAATAAAGGTCTTTATTTCTAACTAGGATGCACCAAGGAAGGGTCTGATAAGTTGAGGTTCTGATGCTGAGAAATTATAGATCTGAAATTTAAAGCCGGATGTTTTTAAGCCTTTATTTCTGTTAATTAGGACAATTTTCTGCTTATAGTAATTAAAACTCAAAGATTTATAATTATATTACCAAATCACCCAGTAAACTTTTTTTTTTTTGATAAATATATTTCATAGATCAAAACCATTTCTAATTCGGTAGTATGGGTTTAATAAAAGAAAAAAAAAAATGGTTTACTGACAGTTTAAAATGTCCTTTAATCTGAGCTGATCTGTATGAATAGCTCCCAAAGGGGGACGCGTGC